CCTCCTCCTCCTCCTCCTCCTCCTCCTCCTCCTCCTCCTCCTCCTCCTCCTCCTCCTCCTCCCAGCGAACCTCCAAGATGAAACGCCGACTCCACCGTCTGGCCCAGATTAGGCGAGCAGGTGCGAATATGCGGAAGATTTATCAGACAGGTTTGAAGGCGGCCGCCTACTATGGAGCGGAGGTCGTCGGCCTCACCAACCCCGAATTGCATGAACCTCGGTCCCTCTACCTCAAGATTGTAGGGCCCCGTTGTGCTACAAGATCCAGGTCCCTGGCTTTATCGATATTGGGGGACCCGACCTGGAGTGTTGCCTTGGGGCCGGCCTGTTATTGGGCCCACCTGATATGGAGAGTTGCTCATAACCCTGGTACGATTGGCTATTCTCTGGTGGGACTCCGTGAACAAGCCCTGCAGGTCCTCCACAAACCCCCTACGAAGTGGTACCAAATCCGTGGGCCCTTATGGGCCACGATGCTCAGCCTGAGCCGTCTGGGGTGGTCAATGCCCGACCCGCTCGTCTTTAGAGACTCACAAGGCCAGGACTACCCACTCATTACTACCTCCCCTGCACTCATCAAGAAGCTGTTTCAATCCCATTGGCAGTTGCAGTTAGACGCGAAGGCGGGGCAGAAGCTCGGTTTCGACGAGCCCCTCGACCCGTCGGTCACGCAGCGCGCGCTGCAGGACAGTACAGTGCAGGCCTACAAAAGGAAGGCGCTGCTTTCGTATGGCTGCCAGTGCATTTGGACCAAAGAAAAGATGGCCGAGGCAGGCTACCAGAACGAAGTCGAATGCGAGCTGTGCAAGGGCCCCGTGGACTCCATTCCCCATAGGCTCCTTGAGTGCCCGCAGACCCGCAACCTGAGAGAGGAATTGTTAAGTGAAGATGATATCGAGGAGTTCAAGGACCCGAGGAGAGGATTTCCATATGTGTTAGGATTCCAACTTCGACCTGAACCCATTGCTCTGAGGCCCCCTGGCTTAGGACTAGATCAGGCTGTATATTGGTCTAGAGATGGGCTGCCCAAGGAGGTGGCCATGCAAGGGGAAGTTTTCCATGATGGCAGTGTTTTGAAACCTGGGCCCGCGGTGTATGATGCCCCCGCCTGGTCCGTGGTCGAAATCGACGAGGACGGCGACCGGGTTGCCAGTCTCTCGGGCCCTGTGGGGGCCAGCCTTCCTCCCACGTCGCCCGCTGCCGAACACCTGGGGTTTTTAGTTGCAACGACCTGCCCCAGAGTCACCAAAGCGTGGACGGATGTCAAGGGTATCCTCCCGGTGCATCAAAGCGCCGAAGTCTCACGTAAGGAAATGTACTCAGGAGTTTCAGTACTGGCCAGGACCCAGAGCTGTTTTGCGCCCCTCGAGATCGGGAAAGTCAAGGCCCACCAGGACCTGTCTTCCCTGGTGGTCGGCTCGAGGGACTGGTTTGTTGCCAAAGGTCCGCCAAAGGTAATGACTGGGCGGACAAGGTGGCCAAACAAGCGGCCGCCAGAATCCCCGCCCCGTCCCAGGGAGAAATCGAGCATTATAAAGAATGTCGCAGCCGAGTTCAGAGGCTGGCGAAGTATGCTGCAGAGGCTCTCTCCTTGTGGGCCCCGCTCGCTCCGAAGTCGGGCAAGAAAGCCTATGAGAAGCCCGCCCAGAGCTTCAATCCCCCAGTTGGGGCAGCGGGAGCAGTCAACCAGTGGACTGCGCTACCCCCGCCCCCTGGGGGTCTTCCTCGGCGTGCTCGAGCGTGCCGTAACCCCCAGGGCGTGGCGAAACATCAGCGGGCATGGCTTAATAATCATTGGCTGTGCCTCGCCTGTCACACCCGCGCCCGCACGGACAGCACTCGCAAGACCCGCTTGCGAGAAGCATGCCCAGGCAATTCAGTCATGTTGTCTATGTTAATTAGGGACCCCAGAAGCACCAATTAATGATTTGTGATTACCTTGATGTTGAGTCCTTCCTAGTCGTTTGTAAGAGGTGCGGCCGCTACAGCGAAAGCAACCTCAAAGGACTCAAAGGTGAATGTAAGGAGCGCTTCCAAAGCAGGTTCTCCCAAGGTGCGTGGTCCCTCCTGGCAAGCGGCCGTCATCCCAAGAGCAGCATGAAGGCCCGTCCCCGATTTTCCCTGCCAATCCCTGCAGCCCAGCTTCTCAAGGAAGGAGGGGCGACGTAGGGAAGAAAGCCAGAGTAAGAGGAGAGCGGGTGTAACCTCCAGGTTTCGGTTAGGGTCGGGTCGGCCTAACCGTAGCCTCCCTCATTAGCATGTGATGGTCCTCCTCCTCCTCCTCCTCCTCCTCCTCCTCCTCCTCCTCCCCTTCCTCCTCCTCCTCCTCCTCCTCCTCCTCCTCCTCCTCCTCCTCCTCCTGCTCCTCCTGCTCCTCCTCCTCCTCCTCCTCTTCATTATGGTCCTCTTCCTTCTCCTCCTCCTCCTCCTCCTCCCCGCTCGCCGCCGAGTGTACGGTCAAGTCGCCACAGATAGAATGCACATGCAGACTTTGATGTTCACTCTCTTCGGGGGTCGTATAGACAGTACTTCGAACAACGGGTGCACTCCGTATGCGGCGGTGCCGCGCTCAGCGTGCACGTCCGACGTGAGAGACGAGCACGTTCTGCGTGCACGTCGGACGTCTGTAAAACATGAGAACGTTTAGAACGCACCTGTGTTTCCAGCATGTCGTTCTGGCTCAGCAGCCCCTGGAACCACACTTGGCCCGTCGGCCTCCGCAGGCCCGAGCCGCTTCTGCCTCCTCCTCCTCGTTCTCGGATTATTCCTCTTCTTTCTCCGCCTCATCTTCCTTCTCCTCCTCCTCCTCCTCCTCCTCCTCCTCCTCCTCTTCCTCCTCCTCCTCCTCCTCCTCCTCCTCCTCCTCCTCCTCCTTCTCTTCCTCCTTCTCTCCCCCCTCCTCCTCCCCCTCCCCCTTCCGCCTCCTCCTTCTCATCCTCCTCCTCCTCCTCCTCCTCCTCCTCCTCGTCCTCCTCCTCCTCCTCCCCTTCCTCCCCCTCTTCCTCTTCCTCCACCTCCTGCTCATCCTCATCCTGCATCGTATAGAGTGCAAGTGGCAAGGTACAAATATCACCATCGCAAAAAGACAGGTCCGCTTTGAGACAGACCAAAATAGATTAGCGTGCAGGTCCGCTTTGAGACATGGACAACGTACCGCGTGCACGCACGGTCTGACATGTTTCCAGGGTGGTTTTGACCAGGGGAGTCGGGGTATAGTGTGCACGGTCATCGAGTAATGTCTTGTCCCTCAAAGGGGGTCGTGCACGCTAAACGTGGCGACTTGGCCGTGGAGATCTCGGATATCGCCGCCGCTCGTGAGGACCACGAGCGCCAGCGGCGGCGGCGGCCGACACGCGGCACGCGGCGGCGGGCCCGGCGGCGCGGCCAGCAGCGCCTCGAGAGCAGAAGAAAAAAAAAACGCCCGAAACATGATTGTTTGGCGCTCTCCTCCTCCTCCTCCTCCTCCTCCTCCTCCTCTTCGTCGTCCTCCTCCTCCTCCTCCTCCTCCTCCTCCTGCTCCTCCTCCTCCTCCTCTTCGACCTCCTCCTCCTCCTGCTCCTCCTCCTCTCCTCCTCCTCCTCCTCCTCCTCCTCCTCCTCCTCCCCTCCTCCCCTCCTCCCCTCCTCCCCTCGAAGAAAAAACGCCATAAACATTACACTGTTGGCGCTCTGCGCAGAGTTCGTGGATGAAGGGGCCCTGGGACACACAAATAAATAGACACAAAGAACAGGATTCCCCATCTTTTCCCAAATTTTCTGGGTTTTTGTGTTCCCCCCCACTTCCCCTGTTTTCCTATAGTTTCTGAGGGATCGACGATTACTTGTGTCTGTGTTTTTTCCCCTCCTGATCGGATCTGCGCCGGGCCCCCCTCCGGCGGCGCCTCCGGCGCCGGAAGGAGGAGGAGGAGGAGAGGAGGAGGAGGAGGAGGAGGAGGAGGAGAGGAAGAAGAAGAATCCGCGCCGGGCCCCCCTCCGGCGGCGCCTCCGGCGCCGGAGAGGAGGAGGAAGAGGAGGAGGAGGAGGAGGAGGAGGAGGAGGAGGAGGAGGAGGAAGAAGAGAAGGAGGAGGAGGAGAGGGAGGGATTACAGGGATTACAGCCTTCGCGTAGCGAAAATGATCTCTAAACTCGAGCAGCGCTCGAGGCTCAGCTACACCTTGGGAAACAGGTCGCGAGAGATCCGATCGAGGTACTCACGCCTGGTCCTGGAAATGGGAAGGGTGCAGGGGCTACCGAGGCCCCTGAGCTGGGCCTGGCCGAAGTAACCACAATCACTGCAGAACCATATTCCAAGACTATGATGAAACGTTAGGGCGTGCGAGGGGTGGGCCCACCCCCCAGCGACATGTACACGGCACCCCCGACGGACCCGAGACACCCTACCATCTACATTTTCAAGCGGCGTGCATTCACTAGAAAGCCAGACATCCCGAGACGCCCGACTCGCAAAGCTTTTACACACAACGCAACTCATGCCATCCTCGCCGAGCATGTGACTGGTTCCGAAACGGGCAATGGTCGACGGGGCAGGAGGAGGAGGAGGAGGCGGGGCAGCAACAGGGGTGGCGGCCTCGAACTCGCTGCCCTCGGGCTGCTGCTGCCGCGCCTCGCGCCGCTGCCGCACACTCTCCGCGGCCAGCTCTCGCTCCTTCTGGATGCTGCTCAGCGCCGCCCGCAGCAGCCTCCGCCGTACCAGCAACGCCTTCTGCTCCACGGATTGGACACGAAATCGATCGGTCTCGGGCACTCGATGGTCCGTGGCGGCCTCCTGCGCCAGTCGGTCGGCAACCTCGTTGCCCTGCACCATCCAACTCGAGTGATTGTGACGGACCACCTCTTCGGCCTCGAGGTGGGAAGGGATCTGCACGACTGCGATCTCGGTCGGGGAGCGAGACTGAAGATGCCGACCAATAAGCCTCCAGATGCCCGCTAGTTGACCAGCAGGGCGACTGTAAGCTCTGGCCCACCATCCTCTGCAGACTTCCTCACAATCTGTGATAAAAAGGAGGTGGCCCGTTGTGCATCGGATCGCCAGCTCCAGTGCCACCAGTTCGCCTTTCGCCACTGTCTGCACGCCTCCGACTAGCGGTCCGAACAGATGTGGCCCCAGGCGAAAGGGGTCGAATGCTGCGATAATACACACTGCAAGCCCAACACGACGGAGGCGTGGGTCGTGGGTGTCACGACCTCCTGACGCATCTCCAAACACTCGAACAGGGAGGTCAACTGTGCCATGGCCCAAACATCCTGGCCCTGCTTCTGCCGTGAGAAGATTCCCGCCTCGCCAGCATTCCTCATCTGCTGGGGGAGGGACAGCGGTCCATGCCGCAGGGATGAGACCACGATTCCAGAAGCATGCATGTGCCTCTTGGTCTGCCATGGCCTCTGCCGCAAACTGGTCTGAGTCTGCGAAGGCACGGGAATCAGTGTTGCATGAACATACCCAGTTGCGATGGAAGTCGGACTCGGGAGCCTCTGAACAACGATCGCATACATTGGAAGCACACAACTGAACCTCGTACTTCCTCGCCTTGGTCCAAACACCTGCGACTGAAATAGCAACCATCAACTCTGACAACTGACGGCCACGATCCACAAACTGAAGATTGTGCATGAACTTCCGAAGACTAAAGAGATCAGCACCTCCCTCCAGCCCTGCTCCGCAATGCAGCTCAGCAGCGGAACGCCACTGCCGCAGGGCTAGAGACCCTTCAAACTCCCTTAATAAGTCGTCAGCCTGGCCAAGTGAGCAGAGAGCCCCGTCATCAAAGATCCACGAGTGCTGCCCGCAATCATTCGGCAAAACCCATTCAGATGGAGTCTTCGGGCCCCAGCTTGCCTGCAGTAGGTGCGCCGCCACAGCGGAGGGTGGGCCGCGGATGTGCCGTGACCTCTGGCTCTCTGGGATGCCTTTGAGATGGGGCGCCACCTGAGGCCATACACGGTAGACGCCTGCCCTGAGAGAGGGCTCGGTAATCCAAACTTGAAGCCACTGAGCCAGGCACTGCCGTGGAAGAAGTACACCTGGATCAGCTGTGGGGGCTCGAATCCCCAGCAACGTAGTGGTGCAGCGGCCGCGGCGAACCCTGCCAGAGGCGGCTGCCAAGCTCCGACGCTGCTGCTGCATGGCCGAGCCGAACACCCCGTAGATCTGGTGCCCATGCATGGCGGCTGCCTGCGGCCCCGCACGTTCCACACGTGCAGTAACCCAGAAGCGCCGCGAAGCAGCCGCGAAGCGTCGCAGCCGCCCGTGCTGAGCTCGAGCCTTGACCACGCGCCTGCGGGCGGTAGCACGGGCTCCACGCTTGCCTGCACCCTGGTCAACTCCCAGGTAGGCCGCCTGGAGCTCCGCCTTGAGAACGATGCCCTTAGCTTTGAGTGCCCGAGCGACTGCCTTGGCGTCGGCGTGATGAGAGCACACGACGACACTCTTAGCAGCTATACCCAAGGAAACACGACTGAACTCCTCGACTGTGTCGGCAATGCCTGCAATCAAAGTCGCCCGTACCTGACGCCGAGAGCCAACAACCTTCTGAGCCAGATCGTCGATCCAGATGCGTTCAGACATATTGGGGTGAGCCGTGCACAACTTTTCTAGAACAAAGTAGGTAAGACAACGACCGAATCTGGTGCCGCTCCCCAGCCCCTGGACCACGCTACGGGTGGGTTGGAAAGGGAGCGAGAAAGACTGGAACTGGGAGACAACACGCGGGGCTGCGCAGATCTGCATCTCCAGAAACAGGATAACAGGAGGGAAGCTGAGCCTCGCTGCAGTGTCTGCCAGAACTTCGAACTCGATACTGTCGTAAAAGGAAGCAACATCTAGTAGCGCCTCACCGTGCGCCACACCCATGCGGGAATACACTTCAGAGTTGAGGCTCCTGAGAAAGGCCTCCCGCAGCGCGCTGTTGCCAGCGACTGCAGCGTCCCAGTGTGGGGCTGAGTCTGAGGACCACTGTCGCATCTGCTCTTCCCGAGCCATACTCCAAACCCGACAAAGCATGGTGACTATTCCGATAACTCTGTCGCCTCCTCCTTTCTTGGCGAGGAGGCGGCCAATGACTATGAGCAACTGCCAGGGCCAGGACATGCCCTGCTCCACCATGAGGAAGAGCTGGCACAAGTCGTCGAGGTCCTCGTCGGGCAGCCGCTCCAGGCCAACTGGTGACAACTGGTCGGCGCCCAGGCCAGCCCGCGCTTTCACGCGCTGAAGCGCATGCCGCAGGTCGGCCACTGACAGCGGGACCAGCTCCTCAACCATACCCAACTGGCGGATACGGTCCACGGTGGCCAAATACTTGGCATACGAAAGCTCCGTAGACTTCCAGAGCTTGTGCCAGCGAAGAACCTTGCGATCCACGATCTCAATAGGGCGCACCGCGCACCCTCCTTCGAAATGCAGCTCATCCGAGGCAAGTGGGTCCCGCTTGGTGCTCCTGTGGACTATGCCCAGAGCGCCTTGCGAGCCAATCCATTCCTGGAGCTCCTGCAGAGACTGTCGCGTGGCTCTCGCACGACCTCGCCGCGCGCCTCGGTCTGCGAGGGCGACGGCAGCCGTGAGCGCTGGGAGCTCCATGAGCTCAAGCTGCCGTATGGAAGCGAGCCAGTCGGCCCAGGCGCCGCCACCTGCTGGGAACAGAGATTGAGCACCTGCAGGGACGTCGAGTGCAAGCCTCCGTGCGTCCGCCGCCAGCTGCTGAACCTGAATCATGCCGTTGCGCCGTCGCCGATGCCGTTCGGTACGTTGAACGAGAGTGTGAATGCGGGCCCACCAGGACGCTGCCACGTCCCGCATGGGTTGGTCGCGAATGTGGACTGCTGCATGGACTGGTCCCACCTCTTGAGAGGGCCCTGCAGCCCTGGAGCGAGCTGGCGCAGCAAGATGATGGCGTTCGCTGAGACATCGTTCCGCCACCGACACCCATGCCGCGAAGCGACCACTGATAGCCAGGATTCGGGGGCCGCCAGCCGCATACGCGAGCGAGGAGCGGATCGCTGGCCAGACGTCTTGAAGAGAGTGTGACAACCAACCAACCTGGTTCCGATGTTTGAGCCAAAGTGCTGACGGAAGAGCAAGAGACGGGGAAGAAGCAGCAGGCGCAGCAGCAGTCGGAGTGGGACGGACGTCCGAGACGTCTCTGGCCAGAGGATCCTGGGCAGCGCCGTCGCTGGGGCGGGCCCGACGCTCCCTCGAAAGCTCGCCAACTTGAGACTCCTTCTCCAGAGTGCAAGGATACTGCACCTGTCTGCTGAGCACGCCGCGGGCGGGGGCCTGCTGTAAGGGTGGCCTCTCCACCTCATCCTCGGAGCGACTGGTGCAAGGAGGAGCGGGTGCAACAATAGGTGCATGCGAAAAACATGGTTCGTCGGCCCAGGGGTCTTCCTCATCATCGCCAGGGAACCCCGAGCCAGAAACATCAGGCTCAAAATCAAAAAACTCTCCGTCGTCGCAGGCGCCGTCGAGTTCGAGAGGCCCACCACCGTCGTCGGCAGCAGCAGGCTCCTCTCCCTCCTGGCACTGTCGCTGAGACGGAAAGAGATCAGAGAAGAGCGATGCACAGATCTCGCGCCTTTTCTCACGCGCGGACGCCACTCGAAAGGCCTGCTGCTGCCTGGACCGACTAGACTTGGAGCCAGGCTGAGTGACAGGAGAGGGTCGCGCCATCTGAGGAAAACGAGGGGCAGTAGGCATGCTGCGCGCAATCATCTGCTTCCCTGAACTGCGAAGTGCGACGCTCAAGCCGCAATGCGGTGCCCAGGACACATCCTGGACTGCGGAAACACTGACTATACAAGGAAGACATGCGGCACTGGCTACAACAAAATCGATGTGGGAATCGCCGTTGTCGCCCACCTGAGTGTACTGCACTGGGGCTTTGGTGATGTGCCCCTGTATCTTGTCTAAGAAGGAAGAGGTGCGAACGCGTTCGACATCGACGTTCCAATCACCGACCACCATCCACGGCATCTGGAGGGTCCTCAGGAAGGATCCGAGCCTCGAATACCGCTGGGCATTGCAGCCAGAGAATCCAACTGACGGGTGGCCGTAGAAGGTGACGAGAACAAAACTGAACCCTTGCTGATGCAGAACCACAGGGAGGAAAAAAGTCGAGCTGATCGTGCCCATCAGCACAGAGATGTGTAACCTCGGTTGGGGTCTCGAAGAGGCGATGAAGATAACGGTGACCCTGGGCAAGAACGAGTTCCCCTCCTTCGTTCGCCCGATCACGAGCCGCACGTGTGGTGCCACGGCCAGTGGGCATGGCGCCGTTGTCGATGAACTTGAGATTCAGTCTGCGAGCCTTGTTGACCCACTCGTCCCGAGTGCGTCCGCAGACGTGAGTCTCAACAATCCCAAAGTAAGTGTATTCATGAAGTCGCTGACGATCCGTGAGAAAATCCCAAGCTCTTTGGCCAAGACACGTGACGCTGGCAAAGAACAGCTTGCTCACATCAGGGTCAGCTGTCTCCTCGCATGCAGGCGCGGCAAGCGGCGGCGCTGGCGCTGTCCCCCCAGCGCTGTCGCCGCGGCTCGCCGCGGGGCCTCACTGGCCGCCTGCGCCTGCAGCCTTCTGCCTCTGCGCCTCCTGCGCCGCCGTGGCCGCCGCCAGCTTGGCTGCGGAGATCCTCGCGGCCTCCGCTGCCACCTGGTCAGGGGTGGGTCCTGACGGCGCTGCCTGACTGCTTGCTGCCGCTGCCGTAGAGGCGGGCGCCGCAGGAGGTACAGCACCATCTCCTGCCGTGGGCCCATCCTCAGCAGCCTCCCCTGCAACGCGCCGTTTCTTCTTCATGCGGTCCTGCACGGCCGCCTGGATTGCTAGCGCCTCCTTGCGCCAGGAGGCGAGCTCCGCCGACCTCTGCGTGAGGTTGTCCTTGGCCTCCCGCAGCTCCTTCTCGAACTTATCCAGCTTCTCCAGCTCCGCGGGGTCGCAATCAAGCTCGCGCAGCTCGGTGAAGAAGCTGGGGTCCCAGTGGAGCTCGATCAGGTCGCCCTTCTCAGGGG